TTGGGCTTTTAAATGGGAAACCCATCCTGATATTAATTTGGTTTTAATAGAAGCAGAAAATGAGAGAAACAAATAAGTGAAATTTTGAGCAAAATCTGATTAGAATCGGGGAAGTGATCATCAGTGAAACTCAAATTGGCAACACTGTAGCATATCATGCGAGCTCCTCTCCAACTACTCTTAAAGAAAAGCAGAAAAAACAGAGAAGCAGACTGGTGACAGTTTGAACACAATCGGACAGAAATTAAGAAAATTATGACATTTAAAAAAGTTTAAAAGTTTGAAGTTGAGGTTAGTTTGTTTCACATTTACGTTAAAAAAAATTCAGGTTCATACAAACTGTAGATACTTAAATGAAGGATAATGTCCAGTCAATAGCAAGGTGTTTCAGGGAAGGGTATAGATATGACATGCCAGGCAATTTAACAAAATTAAAAATACAATGTGAAAACGGGATCAGCCTAATTAAAAGTCACATCATTATAGAACATGAATATTTTTACAGAGGTTCTTATAGCTTAAACTTTCAACATTCTTGCTATTTCTGGATGTATGTTGTAAGGAAAGGGATGATGACTTTCCACTCGTGATGAATGAAGTCTTCCACTGACCTTTTGCAAGTTATAAGGGCCAAGAAAACATTTATGACATCATTGCTGAATTTAAGGGAAAACAAGCTACATCGTGAATGCTGATTATAAAATGTGACTCCATGGCTCAGTGAGGGCTATAGGTCAAGCTCTACTTTGGGTTATAATAAAGAAGAAGTCATTATTACTTGCTCAAGGAACTCAACAAAAGTTACTAATATTTGCTTTAATACAGATTGATAGAAAAGATTTAGGTAATTAAAGCCAAATGTAATGCAATTAATGACCGACAACAACAAACAAAAACTGAACAAAATAGAAAAAACAAAAGAAAAACAGATGGCACAGTTTTTCTGTATAATCTGAATTTATATGCCTTTTCCTTCTATTTTCGGACTGCTGAACACAATGCCATCTTTCTAAATGATGTCTTTAGCCATTGCCATGGTTACAATATATTTCTTTGAAATAACATGTTTCTAATCAAACAGCAGGAAAATATAATGTAAATAAGCTTGCTTCTTCGGGTAAAATGGATGTATAATTATTTTTGTATTTTCGTAATTTGAGTTACATTTTAATGTCCAAAACAGCACCATTGTGATCGACAAAGCAAAAACATTTTCAGACAGTATCCTTTTTAGATCAGCCCAATGCAATATCTCTTGTTATCGCACTTTCTATCACACTTTCAGTATAGTCAAGCTAAATGGGGCTATTGGTTTGATAGGTAGTCTATTTCATCATTCAAGGTGATAGATGAAATGTGGCAAAAAAAGGTAGTTTTTTATAAACGACGGTTTCCTTCAAAAGAACTTGCTTTGATATCAGCCAAAAATATGAAGTGCAGATATCAGAAGTGGATTTGGAAGGAGGGTTGGGGGCACAAGGTCGGAGTAAAAAGAAAAATGATTTTGCCCCTAGTTGTGCCCTCTCCTAACCTCCCATTTGCAATTTTGAACTCGAAAGGGCACCTAGATATGTGGCAACCCTTTTTTTCTTAGCGTTTTTGCTTGTCGGAGAAGATTTTGAACTTGTGCCATTTTCTCAACCCTCTCCCATATCCCTCTCCTAGCCCAAGCAATCCTCTATTCAATAATGGATATGAAAATGGTGCATTGATTTTATATTCGCTTCAGCTCCACAAGCTCCCATATGTCTGAGCTAGGAAGAGAAGAAAAAGAATGGAATGAAATTTTCAGGTCATCAATTGAAGGAAGGAGAAGAAGATCAATCCAACTGCATTAATAATGAGTCTACCTATATATGCATGTTACCAAAAGACGCGAGAGACAACCTGCAGCAGCCAGTGAAAAACATATTTTGGGGGCGTATGAAGGGTGAAACAACCATCGCTTTATACACAATGAACCCTTGAAGGTTCTTATAAAAACTAGAGCTTAAACTTCACTGATATTAAAGCCAACCTGTTAAAAATAGACTAATTGATTATATGTAGATAATAGGACCCCTCAAAAAGAAAATTCAAGTTTGCTTTATTACCGGTATATCTCTCTTGTTACAGCATAATCATTGCTATGTTTAGTATCATTAGAAATTGTGTTTATTCCTCTTTAAATGATACACCTTTTGTAATGAATTCAGTCTTGGAATTTGCATTCCATCAAAATAATGGGCATGATCAAAAATGAAAAGTTACAAAATGCACTGAAAAATATTAATTTTCCCTTGTACCAAATTCAACTTGGGACCCCCACCCACCCCCTGCAAGTCGAGATTGAGATATTTCTATTACTTTTACACATGTTTGTTTTTCTTTTGCTTCTCCCTTGAGAGACCTTAACCTGCTGAGGTGAACATATTCTAATCTTCCACAGTAGACTTGAATGCTTAATGACACAAATCCTTTCTCAATTCAGGCCCTAAATGGAATTGACCTTAAACAAGAACTCCGGCCAAAAAAATGTGTTGTTGTTATTAAGTGCTGAAAACTCAAGTGATTGCAAGTTGAACTGATCATGGTTTGTCCATTAGTTACTGTGCAAATGTAGGACACTTCTCAGATGTAGGATTTCAAACTGTAAATGTATAAGCCCATTGCAGGTTGTATGCATATAGTGTGAGATCGAAATAATAGAGGAAAGATTTCAGGCATACACTTTCTTTAAAGCCTATCTGCACTAGTTTGGCCAGGACCGATAGGAAAGTGAAAAGTATGCCGCAGACCTGCCGCAGACCTGCCGCAGATCTGCCGCAGACCTGCCGCAGACTAAAAGTCTGCGGCAAAGAGTATGCCGAAGTATGCGGCAGAAAGAAATTTTGCTGCAGACTTGCCGCATACCAGTATGCCACAGGAACAGTCTGCGGCAGATCTGCGGCAGGATGAAATTTTGCTGCAGACTTGCCGCATACTAGTATGCCACAGGAACAGTCTGCGGCAGATCTGCGGCAGGATGAAACTTTGCTCCAGACTTGCCGCATACTAGTATGCCACAGGAACAGTCTGCGGCAGATCTGCGGCAGGATGAAATTTTGCTGCAGACTTGCCGCATACTAGTATGCCACAGGAACAGTCTGCGGCAGATCTGCGGCAGGATGAAACTTTGCTCCAGACTTGCCGCATACTAGTATGCCACAGGAACAGTCTGCGGCAGATCTGCGGCAGGATGAAATTTTGCTGCAGACTTGCCGCATACTAGTATGCCACAGGAACAGTCTGCGGCAGATCTGCGGCAGGATGAAACTTTGTTCCAGACTTGCCGCATACTAGTATGCCACAGGAACAGTCTGCGGCAGATCTGCGGCAGGGCAAAACTTTGCTCCAGACTTGCCGCATACCAGTACGCCACAGGAACAGTCTGCGGCAGGTCTGCCACAGGAAATCCCATTAAAGTCTAATAGGGCCAATTGAAACCAATCATCTCATGCATATTCATTATTACTTTACACGTGTGACAGAAAAATACATTTATCATGATTTGTTAAGCAAATTAAGACAATGCACATTATTTTTGTGATTTCTATTTTCCTTTTGCCATTATTAACCAATAGATTATTTTGTCTGATCATGTTACAATTACATTCACGTTTAAGCAATAGATATATTGATTACTAACCAAGAAACTATGATTACTAACCAAGAAACAATATACATATTTAGTATATATATATATATGTGTACGAGCCTGTGTCACTTTAAATGTTACTCTTGAATACACTTCAAATGATCAATGTGATGAAGTTAATACAATTGAGAATAGAATATACCTAATTGGTAATATCGACATACATATTGGTATTACCTCATTGGTAATATCGATATTGCCAATATCGATTATGAAGTATCAATCAGTTTATCACTGGTTCTTCTACATGCATACTTTATTGCCACGTACTGGATATGAAAGAGTATGCGGCAGGTCTGCAGCAGGTCTATATGAGATATGAATATTCATGACGAAGAGTCTGCGGCAGGTCTGCAGCAAGTCTGCTGAAAGACTCTTCATCATACTGAAAGAGTATGCGGCAAGTCTGCGGCAGACCTGCAGCAGACTCTTCATCATACTGAAAGAGTATGCGGCAGGTCTGCAGCAAGTCTGCGGCAAAACTAATTTGCATGTGAAAAAGATGACTGTCTGCGGCAGGTCTGCTGCAGGTCTGCGGCAAGTCTGCCGCAGGAGTATGCGGCAGGCTCATTTCTTTCCTATGGGGAGGGATTATACCTACCTGCTTCGTCACTGACAGGTGGTTATCTCATCAAATCAGCTCTCAATTAACATAGGAAAAAGGGGACCATGGGTGATCAACAGGTACCGCTTAGGCATTGCTGGCTGTATAGAGGGTGCAAGTAGCTACAAGTAGTGCAGTCCCGCTTTAAAGCCATACTGCACTAGAAGTGCCACCCTTTAGCACCATCTTTGATCATCTGTAAGGGGCGGATCCAGGATTTTCCTGTGCGAAATGTACGAAACTGTGAGCACAAAGCCTTTACAGCATGGGGTTCAGGGCCCGCTTTAGGGCACTAGAAAATTTTGAACCTGAAGGTGCTCTAAGGTACATTCTGAGGCATTTCTGAGTGTGTAAACTGAACATTTTTAAAAAATATTTCTGTAGTTCGTTGCTGCCCTAGCTGCGCTGTTGGTTCTCGCATTGAGTCTTCTGTCTATGATGTAGGAATTACGAATTGGGATACGCACTGTTGGCAAGTTGTCCATGAGATGGGTATACTTTCACCTACATTATGGCATGATGATGTATGCTAAGAAAACTTGATAATGAATTGAAGAATAAAAATCATATGTGTAATGTATCTTCCCAGGATTTCTTGCTATTTCATTTTCCTTGAAAGAATTACAAGTAGATCCCATTCATAATGAAACCCATTTGATAATTAATTAGTAACCCTGCTATGTTTGTTTTCTTTTTGTCACTTTTTTTTCTTCTAAAAAGGGCACAATTTCATGAGACAAAACGGCAACTGGAAGGACCGGAGCGACAAACCCACCGATTTCTCTGTCTGGTATGGATGCGGAGGCCACGTTTACAATGTGTCTTACAGGGGAAAGAGACCGGATTGGACGGACATGCACAGTACTTCACAGTGGGCTGTCTTCTCAAGGTGGGTATTGAACCCTGGTGCTGCTGGTCCAAGCACGGCACCAGTAGGGTAAACCACTGGACCCATGCATGTTTTCCTTCAAAAATTAATAAATTCCGTGTACATGTTATGAAATAAATCAAAAGAATAGTATGTAAAAACTGAGTTCAAGTAATTTTGTTTTCAGTATTGTTCTTGAGAGAAAGAGAAAGAAAAGAAATAGTAATGGTATTCTGCATTTCTCTTACGATAAATATACCGGTATGTTTAATTTTGATAACTGTACACTGTAACCCCAATACTACTGGATCATTTAACCCTTTCAATTCCTTCAAGACATTTTATATTGCACAATCCTGTTAAGGGTGCATGAAGTATTAAGAAAACAGTGAATTGAATTTGAATGGGTTAAACTGTCTTTGATGTTACTGATTATGTTTACATCAAAATAGGAAAGCTTTGAGTGCTTCTCCTAAACATTTTTGTTTTGTAGTTTGAGCCAATCCCTCTATATCCAACATTAATTGCAAATGAAAAATGCATGAGATTTTGTAATCCCTCCCCATCTAGATAATGAATTCCCATCTAAATATGAATAATATTGAATTTGTCTTCTATCTCACCCCCAAAGTATTCATATGTCCTGATCTGAACCACTCATTCTTTATCCACCATTAATTGAAAACAATAATGCAGGAGAATGTAATTGAGTACCATCAGGAGAGACTTTACGTTTCCACTAAAGTGATTAAGATTTATCTTTGTGTATTATTTGTAAGAACAACATAAATGAGCTCTTCCCTCCCCATCTCTCTATCTCTCTCTCTCTCACCCTCTTTCTCTCTCTCTATTTCTCTCTCACACATACCGTATTTGCCGGCGTAAAGGCCGCACCGCCGTATAGGCCGCACCCCCAACTTTGACATTTCGTAGAGGAAAAAAAAAAACTACAACAAAAAAACAAAAAACAAAAAAAACGAGAAAAAAAAAACGGACCAAACAAAATGATCGTAATTTTCTTGTAGAACACTCTTTTTATGCCTCCGCCACCGAAGGTGGTGCCGGAGGCATCATGTTTTCGGGTTGTCCGTCCGTACGTCCGTACGTCCGTCCGTACGTCCGTCCGTACGTCCGTCCGTCCGTCCCGTTTGACCGTTATCACAATATCTCAAGAACCATTTAAGATTTAAACTTAAGACTCGGGAATAGTATTTATCACCATAGGAAGACGATCTGATTAGATTTTGGAGTACGTAGGTCAAAGGTCACAGGTCACAGAGGTCAACTTATGAAATTCCTTGTATTGAGATTGTTAGCGCGATATCTCAAGAACCATTTGAGATTTAAACTTCAAACTTAAGGATAGTATGTATCACCATAGGAAGACGATCTGATTAGATTTTGGAGCACGTACTGTATGTCAAAGGTCAAGGGTCACAGAGGTCAACTTATGAAATTCCATACATTGAGATTGTTATCATGATATCTCAAGAACCACTGGAGATTTAAACTTCAAACTTAGTGATAGTGTGTATCACTATAGGAAAACAATCTGATTACATTTTGGGTCACGAGGTCAAAGGTCAAAGGTCACAGGGCTCATTATGTATGCAAAAACAGCTTGTGATCGCGTTATCTGAACAACCGATTGATGGATTCCTGCCAAACTTTGGTCATGTAAGTATCTTGCAGAGCTGATGAACTGATTAGATTTTGGGGTCACGAGGTCAAAGGTCAAAGGTCACAGGGCTCATTATGTATGCAAAAACAGCTTGTGATCGCGTTATCTGAAGAACCGATTGATGGATTCCTGCCAAACTTTGGTCATGTATGTATCTTGCAAAGCCAATGAACTGATTAGATTTTGGGGTCACGAGGTCAAAGGTCACAGCGCACATTGTGTATGCAAAAACAGCTCGTGATCGCCTTATCTCAAGAACCGATTGATGGATTCCTGCCAAACTTAGGTCATGTATGTTACTTGCAGAGCTGATGAACTGATTAGATTTTGGGGTCATGAGGTAAAGGTCAAGCTCATGCGGCTCATTATGTATGCAAAAATAGCTTGTGATCGTATTATCATTAGAACAGATTGATGGATTCCTGCCAAACTTAGATCATTTATGTATCTTGCAGAGCCAATGAATGGTTCATAAGATCAAAGGTCATGGGCTCATTATGTATGCAAAAATAGCTTGTGGACGCATTCTCATTAGAACTGACAGATGGATTACTATTTAACTCAGGAAATCTTGCAGAGCCAATGAACTGAGTAGATTTTAGGGTCATGAGATCAAAGATCAAAGGGTCATATATGTATATGAGAAATTGCTTGTAATCACGATATTCTGAGAACTTGTTAATGGATTACAATTGAACTTGAATTTGAAAAATTTCTTCCGTTTCGGTTTGTAAAATTGCTCTATGACGGAGGCATCATTTTCGACTGCGCGCAGTCGAATTCCATCTAGTTTTTTTATACAAACCATACCCAATTCATCAATATTCTTATAAATCAACAAGAAGTTAACCTCAAAAATGATCATAATTTAGCAGATCTTCATCGACTTTTAAGCTAGTACTGTATCGTACGCAGATTTGGTATCCTACAATACCCCTTCCTCGATGTGCGGTGTAATCCGAAATAGCATTTTTCGACCTGCGCAGTTGCGTTGCGCGGCAGCTAGCTCCGTAAGTAACGGCCTGTCCCTTTGTTTACTTTTTGGCGATGCAATGGTATGGACTTAGATCGAGATCTATCGGCAGATCTTATTAGAAAAATAAGTTTTTTCGTCTTCATGTCAACTATGCAACATAAACTTGTCGGTAAATTGTGTGGAGTTATTCTAGAATTGTCCTGTACCGTTGTCTAGTCATGCTACCGTTCCTATAGTCCCATACGTGCAAATGGACGTGATGTTTTGACCGCTGAATTTTGTTGTTGTTGCGTATACGCCGCACCCCAACTTTTTGATTTTTTCTCACCCGAAAATACTGCGGCCTTTACGCCGGAAAATACGGTACACACTCACACTCCCTCTTCTCTGTCTCTTGCTCCTCTGTCTCTTTCTCTCTCTCTCTCTCTCTGTCTCTCTCTCTCTCTTCCTCCCCTCCCTCTTCTCTGTATGTCTCTCCTTCCACTCTTCTCTTTCTCTTGTTCTATCTTTCCTCTGATTAACAAGTTTTACACATGCCAAAGCATTTTCCAAAGATTTAGTGGAATGCTCTAATTGCCCAATGAGCAGCTGTGTCCATAAATACTTAAGCCCAAAAAATATTGCCTGCTGAATACCAAAAGGGCATTAAACTCATACACTTAAACAAAGAGTCAATGCCCATCTGGCTCTCAGCAGACAACTTTTAATGCATTTTAGCAATTAATACAATTTAGAGGTTGCACATGGTAGAGTAAAACATATTGAAGGAAACACAACTAAAAGCAGAAGATATTTCATATAAAGTAATTATTTTGTACTCTTATGCTAGTCCATTCCATCCTAAGTGCTGGCATTGAAAGAAAATAGAATACCACCTGCAATTCCACGAAGAGACGGAAATGGACGATAAATGCCCCAAACAAATTGATTTTTAGCTCAAATTGACGCAAATTACTCCGACATTATTGTGCCATTAGCAAAATGGCTGATTAAGAATGCCACTTTGCGCTGTGTTTTCAGGGTCTTCATTCTGAGACATGAACTTATTTATTGATTTTTAAAGGAATATTGAAAAGCTGTATTTGAGTAGCAAAAATTTCACAATTCATGAATTCTTTTTGTTTATTTGAAGAAGAAAAACAAGCTGTTTAGTATTAAAAAAAAAAAAATTCCAGATCCAATATCAAAGTTTGTTCAATGGAAACCTTTATACACCGAATCAACTGCATGTAGCATTTCCATGTTGTTAGTGTTGCACAATGTACATCATGGTATTTTTGATTATTCATAAAGTAATGGAATTAGCAACTGACCCTATCAAAGGTCTTTTCTAAATCATGTCCCATAAATCTAGGTAGCTCAAGGATCAAATAAGCTTGCCTTGGCGCATTATTTCCCTTTGTCTGTCTTATGGAAGCAGATTAACTTTGTGGGAATTACAAAAATAATTTGAAAATGATGTATATGTCCAATATTCAATAATGGATATTGCTTTTTCGCAATATTTGTGCCTTTGCATATTTCATAAGAAAGAAAAAAACAGGTGTTTATTTTGCAATATTTGTAATAGAAACTTCTAATGGTCACTGCCGAAAACATGTAGGTCTGCCCAACAACTGGACATGACAAGGAACCAAAAATGTGTTCCATGCATAATCCTCATGATCTTTTTCTATGTAACTTAATCCTATGGGGTCAGGAACACTTTACAGCTTCAGCCCACTTAACAGCGTATATATTATACTTAGGAATGATTCATAATGTAATGGGAGGAAACACGTAGACTGCTGTAAAAAAGGAAGTCAAGTTCAACCGACCCTAACTTGACCAGTTTCAGGTTTTTGTGTCTTCTGTACAACACAGATAATATATATGGTGTTAAGGATTTCCTTTGTAGCTAAGATAAGAAACTGTTTATAAAGCAGAAAGGTACATGGAATCATTTTAGATGACTTCTCCATTGGGGGCAGCAAATAGGAACATTTGGCAATTTCCAATGTTGCTTGAAATTCTACTTTCTCTATTAAATAAAATATTTTTATTCTGTATGTTATGAACAATGATGAATTTGACTGCAAACATTGTTCTGTCTTTTTATTTTTTATAATTTAATTTAATATAGATTCCTTAAGACATAAATGTATCATGATTTTGCTAAACAGCCCATAAATAATGGCAGACTTTGAAATGCACTCTGCTCATTTAAAACAATTTTTTGGGGAGTGCTAATCCTATTTAAAAAAAAGAAAAGAGTTAAAGAAAGAGTTTGATGAAATGACAGGGACGATGATAATACTACCCCCTCCCCTTTCCCTTAAAAAAAAAAGAAATAAGGAAGGACGAGAGAAGAAATAAGATGTAAAAGAAATTTTTAAAAATCATGTCAGGTAAGAATGAATATAATTTCAGTTCCATTTCATTCCTCAGAAAAATTGATTGACCAATAAATCAAACAAAGAATCGAAAATATAGAACATTTATTTTTGTTCAGGGGGCATAATTTCTGTGTTATTGCTGTAAATCGTGGAGATAAGGAGACATTAATACCAGACTCGGGTTAGGGTGACACCTTCAAGTGCTCGTAGGTACATGCGATGGAATATTTCCCCCGTAAGGAAAAAGAATTATTGTCCGGACCGTGTAATCAATCAGATTCGTGAAAGGGGGCTTTGTTTTGAAAACCACATATTTTTCTAGACTTTGACATTTCAATCACTCTTTCCCCCTCCCCGCCCCTCCCCCCTTAAAAAAAAAATGTAATCAAAGAAGCCTGGTTAATGTAATCATTTTGATCGAATCTACTTCTAAACATTATTTTGGTTAATGACCTTCTAGATCTTAACAGATGACTTGCAAGACATATCATAGAGTGAAAATAATTACAGTATCTGATGAGAGCCAAAGGGTTTCAAACTCCTGCACTTTTACATAGACTTAATGCCCTTGTGGCTATTAACTGGCTATCAAACAGATGACAATTGTTCTCTTGATTAATTACAGGTTGATGGATCGAGTCATCATAAAGAGATTTATTAGAGATGGGCTCTGTATGTCTGAAATTATCCTCAGGACTTAATTCATGACCATTAAACTCTAAATGTTTTGTCTGTTGAGAGCCAGAAGGATGTTAAAACTCTGTGATAAAGTGCATGGGCCAATGCCCTTCTCGCTTTCAACAGACGATTTATAAGGTTAATACAAACTCCTTAATTCCATTGCGATTGATGCAACCTTCCAAAGTGTCACAGATAGTTCTCTACTCACGGAGCTGTAAATTCAGAGTTACGGTAGAACTTGAAGTTACTCCCGAGGACATAGGCCCCTTTATGAAATTCAAATTCAAACATGAAACCTAAGCAATTCAGTGACATCGCCTTTAAACTTTGGCAAAAAGCGGTTTATAACCTGGGGCAGAAGGGTGAGCTGGGGTAAGGGTGCGTTCAAGCAATTTTTAAAAGCTAGAATCACAAACATGAATTACAAGTCAAAACGCCGTTAAAATAAACGGTTTCTGCGGGAGAGCGTTCAAGCAAATTTTTCAACAGCGCTGATTCTCGCTCAATTCAAGCCCAGCCACTGCTTATCACACTGTTAAGTTTGACCCAGAAAGTATAGGTCAACTTTGCTGCATGCTTTCTGAATTTGTTTATCGTCAACTGTCGGCCGAACCAGAAGCAGGCCATGATAATGACGTTATACAATCATGATTGAGATCTCCGTTCGTTCAAGCGATTTTTAGCAACCGTGATTCTGCAGAATCATGATACAAAACGCATCCTTTTCAGCATTCCATGTTTGCGTTTTTAAACATGTTTATTTTTACGACTGACAAAAAAAAAAATTGCTTGATATCGCTTGAACACAACCGTGTTTTAAACTAAACGTCTTTGAAAACCAAGTTTCTAGGGTAAAAAAGTGTTGATTGAACGCACCCTAGGTAACTCAGGGGTGGAGGGTAAGGATTGGCAATGGTATTGGAAACATCTGTCAAATGTATTGACTTTGATTTGAACGCTCCTCCGCCATCCCCAATATGATTGATCGTCATCCGAAAAATGTGTGTTGGCAAAGCAAAGAAGTGACAGGATGGCCGGCGTCCTACAAAAGCCCAAATTATGATCAAAATATAAACATCTTTCTTTGTGTCAATCACTTTCAACAATTGTTGCATTGTCAGATGTCATAGGTCAGAGGTCAGAGAAGGTGTAAGTTTTTAAACTGTTCGAAATATAAAAGGTCTTAAAGGCTCTTGAATTTTTGGAAATGTCGGAAAAGTATGAAATGTCAGCTGAAAGGAAATGAATGTCGTTGTTGAAAGTGAAGGGGTAGTATGGGAAAGTCATTGTTTCGTCATTATTAGTAAACTCTGAAAATAATGGAATTTCATTGCAGCTTATAGGAAGTTGGAAAGTTAGGGATTGTATGGGAATTGCATTATTGTTTCTTATTAAAAGTCTATAAAGGATATTTCCTCCTTGCTTTGTCTTAAAAGGTGCGAAAGATTTAAGTGCAGATTTTGATGGTGTTTTTGAAAATATGTAACGAAAAATATATATAATTATTGCTGTTGAAAAAAGTTTGATATGCAGGTCTTAAAGAGGGAAAGCATGATCATTTTAGAATTTTAGATGCCACCAGAAAGTTTCTTTTCAGATATAGTCGAATAATATTTCAGTGTTGCATGTGGACTATTTAAAAGTCAGGGATTGTAGGGGAGTTTCAGTGTTGCTTGTCGACAGTGTTAAGTCTAGGATTGTATTAGATTTTGTTGTTGCATGCGAAAATTGAAATGCTAGATAAAGTAATGTAATTCTTTTGTTCTTCTGGAAAATCTTGAAATATGGTATTCTCATGTTGCATATATATGTTAAAATTCAAAAGAAAAACAACAACAAAAGTTTGTGAGAGTCATTGTTTCTCCTTAAAAGTGAATGGATTCCAACTGCTTCAATTATAAGCTGAAAAGTCCAGTATAGTAAAAGAATTGAATTGCTGCATGTTCAGAGTCGGGATATCGTGGATAATAGTATATTTTGATGTTACTTCTAGCAAGTTTCAAAGTATTTATGAAAAAGGTATAATATCATGGCAGCACTAGAATTCCATTGCAAAATATTGGGCCAAAATCTGAAATTACATAATGTGAAAGAGAGAAGTTATCATCGTACGTAACAGTGATGATTTTATTTCATTATAGCAAAGGAACAAAGTCATGGCTCAATATGATAATCAACAGATATTAATAATATGAATGTTAGTGACGCTGTGCAAATACCTGTTAATAAATGTCAGACACAGTTTGATATTGCTTGGGGATTCTAATAGGATGATTTGGTTCTGCTTTACAGATCAGTGAAGCAATGGACATGTTGGCAGGTCCCTTCAAATGCTCCAGTGAAGTTGTGAACTTAGTATTTTTTTAATCATGATAATATTTTAACAGGTCTAGATGTAAATTAGCATTGTTACTTTTTCGATACATAAGGACATGTTTGCACTGAGGTCATTGTGCTCTTTCAAAGTCTTTTTTATTGCACTGAAGTAAAGGCACTTAGTACTCTTTATACACCATGATTCAAATTCTGCACTCCAAACTTGTTTATATCATATTGTACATGGACACTTTGTGTGATAAATGTTGACTGTGGCAATTCCCTGTTTGGCCCTTTTGTAAAACCAAGCCAGCAAAGAGTTGATATCGTTCTCCATTTTCTTATATTTTGATTTGTTTTTGTTTTGTTCTCCCCAGGGATTTCATTGAGCTGGTAGTGAGTCCAGACAGGGGGATCTTCATGAACAATCTGCACTTCTTTGCCAGTACCTGCATCATACCGGATGAGTCCTACCTGGCTTCCATGCTCAAGATATCACCTTTCAGGTATGTATGAACCGCTCCCATCATATAACGTCTCAGTCTCTCTCCTCTGCCTCCTGCCCCCAACCCCCCCCCCCCCCCAGTTCGTCCTCCACCTGGTTCCCCCCCCCCTCTTCGATCTTTCCCTTCCCCTCCTTTTCCCCCTCTCTGTCTCCATCTCTTATGCTTTTTTGTGTGCTAGTCCCTGTATTATATCAGATGAGTCCTACCTGGCTTCTATGCTCAAGATATCACTTTTCAGGTATGTATGAACCGCACCTGTCATATCGTCTCAGCCCCTCCTCTCTGCCCCCCCCCCCCCCCACCCGCCCTTCTTTGATCTTTCCCTTAATCTCCTCTTCCCCCTCCCTGTCTCTGTCCCCAACTCTTGACGCTTTTTTTGCTAGTCCCTGTATTATATCAGATAAGTCTTACTTTGCTTTCATGGTGAAGATATCACCTTTCGGGTATGTAGAATTAAAACGCTCCCTTGTATCGTCTCAGCCCTCTCCTCTAACGCCCCCTCTCTTTGTTGATCTTCCCCTCCCCCTCTTTGTATCTGTCCCCAACTCTTTATGTTTTTGTTTTTTTGCTAGTCCCTGTATTATACCAGACAAGTCTTATTTTGCTTTCATGTTCAAGATATCACTTTTCAGGTATGTAAAATTAAACCGCTCCCATTGTATCGTCTCAGCCCCTCTCCTCTGCCCCTTCCCTTCTTCGATCTTTCCCTTCTCCTTTTCCCCTCTCCCACTCCACTTTTGCCCTCCCTGTCTCTGTCCCCAACTCTTGATGCATTTTCTTGCTAGCTACCTGCATCACATCATATTAGATTATTCTTACGTAGCTTCTATGCTGAAGATATTACTTTTCTGGGTGGGCATTTCACAAAGATTAAGGTTGACTTTAAGTTGAACTTAACTATGGCAGGCCATTCATGCCACTGGTTGCTCTCACCATTATGACCTTTTGATAATATTTTTTCCTTCAATAATGATTTATCAAAAAATGTAAATTCTGTAGATTTGAAACCATGATTTGTACGTCCCTTGAAAGACCAATGCCAGTAAAATGGTGAGAGCCAACGGTGGCATGAATGGCCTGCCATACTTAAGCCAAACTTAAAGTCAATCTTAGTCTTTGTGAAACACTCCCAAGTTTGTCTTCTTCTTTCTGATGAGCAACTGCAATCAACCAGCTGATCGTTCTGTTTTACTCTTTAGAATACCTCCTCTCTGTCTTGACGTACCACTTGATGCATTTCTTTGCCATACCAAATGAATCCTAAATTTCCCAAAATGGCCAGAAACATGGGTTTGAAGCCGGTGTTGAGTCGGTTCGGCAGTCTGTCTGTGTTAGTACATAGTAGTGGGGGGGGGGGGGGGGGGGGGGGGTGCATTTCTTGTGTGATTTTGTGAAAATCAGGTATGTTTTTTGATGTGTGAAAGTCGTGTTTTGTTTCTAATCTTCTCTTTCCACACATAGCCAACTGTCATTTGTACTATAGACAGAGTTCATAATGCCACTTAGACAAACATTAATATCTGTCTGGGTGGTCTCACATTTGCTTATCATGATTTCTTTCAGCTAAATTTGGCAATGAGGAGGTAAACCTATTCTCAAACTTGAGGTGGCAAAATAAAATGATGTAATATGGGTGTGGTGCTTCACATTTCTTTTTGTCTTAATGCACAGAAAGTCACAGAAATGTGACTTTTGTTGTGTGCAGTTGCTTTTTTTTTCTTCCCCTCCACTTATCAGTCATACAAGCAACTATGTTTGGGGCAGTTTACCCTATCCTGTGGGCCATATTGATGGTTGTGATGATTCATATTTTTCTCCTCACTGCTTGGAAAACAAAAACTTGTGTAGATGCTTGTAAAGATAGCTATGGAAAGTACCGAAAGAAAAGAAAATTTTATGAATCTACTGGAGCCATTTTAGCAGCAAGACACTTGGGCATATCACAAACATTCAGTGCTACAATACCAAAATTTTGCTGGATAAAATAATTGTGAATCTGGGCCCTGTTTAGTGAAACTTGTTATCAATAACAAATACTAAAGTTTTTATGACAAACTTGCTCTCAGCCGATCAAATGCCACGATTTCCGTAGCTTATAATAGTTATTGTAACTCGTTATTGATAAGTTTTATAAAACAGGGCCCTAGCTCATTTGCAAAACAATCCGGTGTTACAGCTACACTCAGCTTTGAGGCGCATGTCTAGTAATATACAATGTGACTGCAGTGCATACAGTATTACTCAAGACGTCTAGCAATTTCATTTCAAGACATAGGATATGAATTGGAGGAAATGGATAAAACCCAATGTCTGTACTTTGAGATGATTATAAAAGAGTCATTTGATGAGTAATGTGATACTTCCAGTATAATTTGATATTCATTTTGGTATTGAGAGTAGGATGACGATTGTATTTCTTGTGAAACTTGGTCGTCACTTCTTGTGGTATGTCACTCTCTCTGTCTCTCTGACTCTCTTCCTTTCAGTCTGTTTCTTTACCTCTCTCTTTCTCTTTCTCTCTCTCTCTCTCTCTCTCTCTCTCTCTCTCTCTCCTTTTCTCTTTCTCTCTCTCCCTTTCTCTCTCTCTCTCTTTTTCTTTCTCTCTTTCTCTTTCTTTCTCTTTCTCTCTCTTGCTTTCCACTATCTTTCATCCATTCTCTTTCTTTACCCCTGTCTCCCCTTCTCTCTATCTTACTCTCTTTTGACTATCTTCCATTCATTCTCTCTTTTGTTATCTCTCTCTCTCTCTCTCTCCCTTCTTCTTCCCCTTTTCCTTCTGGCATTTTGCTCCCTCTTTCCCACTCTTTTCTCTCTCTCTTACTCTCTCTTCCTCCCCCCCCCTCTCTCTCTGTCTCTCTCTCTCTCTCTTCTCTCTTCCCCCTCTCTGTCTCATCGTCCCTCTCTTTCTTTGTGCTATATCTTCTGTGCATCATTTATCTTTACTCTCTTTTATATTTCAGCAACTTGACAAAAATACACTTGCGTAAGTCCAACAAAATCCATGCCGGAAAGACACGGATACGTCTCTGTATCCTAGAGGCATTTCCAAATTGTCACAACCGTATCTCGCCATCTTACAAAGAATTAGAGCACTCCTCTATCAATATATTAAATATTAAAAGAGGAATTAGACTTCACGTATTCAATATTTTATATATTTATCCAGGGATTTGTCAGAGATTTTTTTATTTCCCTTTCCTTGATGCTGCTTTCTTGTCTCCTCCTGGCACGAAGCTTCAGAAGTTTTAACCCAGGATGCGCTGAGGGGGTCGGATCTGGCTTTTGTCTTGTAATATCTTATCCCTGGAATCAGTTGAGAACCTAAAGGGGCATTCACATCAGAGCAAATAGACCAGTTAACTAACATATTCAAATTGATGGATGTTTTTATTCCTGGGGACCTAGCAACAAGTTATTTCATTAACCTGTTATTGATGATTGGACTACAATATATAGAATCCAGTCTGCATTATATATTACTTGTTGCTGTGTCAGGCAAACCTAACAATATTTCAGCTAATGTCAAGAACATCCTTTATTTATTAAAAGGATGCATAAACTCTGAACATGTTAGTAAACCAGTCAATTTATACACAATTTGTTTAAATAAACATAAAGAATCATTTCATAGTGGAAGGGGCATATATCCACACAGGATGAGAATATTGTATGAAGAAAACATTGTATACTAAACATTTAAAAAGACACAGTTTGGTAGGTCACCTTCTACCATGGGCTGTTTGAGGGTATAAAATCACTGCCGTTATTTTGAACCAAGTAATCTATATTATTAATACGCAAAATCGCCGCGGGGGGTCCAAAACGGGGCAAAACGGTTCCTCAAAAACGCCTTTCCCCGACCCCGCTCGCCTCCGCCGTGGCGCGGGAACGGTGGCACAATTCCACGAGGCCTGTCTCCCGTAACCCGCGTGCCACCTCGACCCCGCGATCGACGTCCATGCCGTTAAACGCGGTTTCGGGGTGCCGGGGAGGACGGGCGGACGAGAGCACGGCGGGCGTCGTGGATTGCGAGGAGGCGACGAACCCGCGAGAGCGAGTTGACAAGGCGTGCACCCGCCCTCTGTCTAATTATCAAAGAGAGACGAAGAGACACACGATAGACGAGAATCCACTCGCGTCAACGGGTGTAGCAAGTCTCATTGTAAAGGCTGCGGCGTATCTTGAGTAAGGCCTCTTGCTATAGGATTCGCTTTGTAGCGTGTAAGAGAAATACACATCAACAGATGACTCACGCGGGTGAGGGGGTGTAAGAAATGCACGCTCTCACGGGTTGGGCTTACCCGTGTTATGCGTCTTTCTATAGGATATGCTTTGTAGGCCAGGCGCCCATAGTATACGTGTATTTCACTCTCACCGTCACACATGTACACACACTCGATTCGAGTCGTGGCGATTGCGACAATTGGCGCAAACCATGGACCTATTTTCGCGTAAAATCTTTACTCTGAAAATAATTATACAAATTCTGTGATCTATGCCAACATATTCATAGTCCAAGCTTCTGTTTTATTGGTCTTTTCATGAAAACTACCTCGAAATAACAACAATAATAACGCAAATAGATCTGTGATAGTACGCCTGACCAATCTGCGATTTATGCACACACACAGAGCAAACAGGATTTCAAATGCCTTCCAGCCCCCAACTCAGGCGGGTCATCACGGCGCTCAAGCCATCGTTTTACGCTGCGCCGCAGTTACTGCACTACACTGTATAGATTTGATTTCCGTACTATGTTTGATTTCGTTTAGCGTTGGTTATTTGAAACTTTTGAAATCCGAAAGACTGTAAATATGTTAAATAGACTCTTGATGTTGGATTTCTTTTCTACTGACCTGTTAATGAAAGCATGAGGGATAAACAAAAAAAATAAGGACTGCTCTGTAATTGGATGGTGGTGGAAATTATCACTCCCTCGATTTCGTTCAAATACTGGCCCTTCTATTACCCCCTCGGCTTTGCTTCGGGTGATAGAAGGACCGGTATGAACTCCACCTTGGAAATGATAATTTCATCCTCATGAGCAGTCAATATTTGTTTATTTTCACTGAGACCTCTGGGACCTCTCTGAAATTCTTTGTATCATCCATGCAAAATATCATTTTGTTGATAATTTTGTTTAATAGAACATTTAGTTTTAATAATGTATGTTAAGCCAAGTTAAACAATTATTGTTACTCATGTTTTGATTTGGGATAAGTTCTAATTAGAGATGAGTGAAAATATGAAAAATGAGAATGGGAGGATTGAGAACAGTATTCGTAAGAAACTGGACGGGAAATGGATAATGAGAATAAGGATATATATGGGAATGAATGAAAAACAATAATAATAAATAATGAAAGTGAAAACGAAAGTTAAAGCGTAAAATAGTTTGCATCAGTTTGTTTACAAATTACTTATTTAATTTTTTCTTTCAATCTTCAAGTTTTATTATATGTTACAAATAAAAAAAAACATTTCATAATGATATATGAAACAGCAAACAAAAGGTTAATATTCTATCGAATTAAATATTAATAACAAGAGTAGAAAAAGAATAAAATGATAAAAAGTAGGCCTATACCAAGAGGGAAAATGAAATTGAAAATAAAAGGGGGGACAAAAACAGAAAAACAAACATGAAAATTTAAAAAATCGATAGCACATCATTAACAACCACCCACCACCTAGAATCCCGTGGATTTTCCACGGGTCCTCCTAGTCCATACATTAATATATATGACGAAATTGCCAACGAAATATAATGTTTGCTCTGGTCATATCGGCACACTATTAACCCCTTGCGGACTGGAACCGTGTGGTGCTTGTGTTGAGCTGAATGGAATTAGAGAACTCAGTAGTCAACGGGGAAAAAAGCCCCTTTTAGCTACACAATTTCCTTTTAATACAGTTTTCAGCATTGGCATTTATTGGACTCTTCACCAAATTTTATTCAAAATGAGATTTTGATGAATAGTGTATAGTGTATGAAAATCATTCAATTATCTAATAACTATTTGACGGTAGCCTATAACTATAGTCATAGTTTTTCTTTGCTTCACCATGATTCGTGCTATCCTTAATGAGGTGGAAGAGCTAGGTCAGATATACTCCCTCGTTGTTGAAAGTACATTAATAATGATGACAATAACAGGATTCTGGAATGGGCTATATTATTTCCTAAAATAGAATGAATAGGATACATTGATGACCGGATGACAGGAAAAGGATGGGGACAAAGAGGGGTTTTTGTCAGAATATTGTGATTTGATGCCATGAAATTAAATATGTATATCCTCAATTCTCCAGACATGTTTGTAATATATCTTACTCTTAAATCTGTATTAAAATAGTTAAAGCCCCACTGCACTACGTATAGCTACTTGCGCCCTCTATATAGCAAACAATACCTAATCGGTGATCATTGGTCCCCCATGGTCCCCTTTTTCGTATGTTAATTGAGAGCTGACTTGAGGAGATAACCACCTGTCAGTGACCATGCTGGGTGGGCTAATCCCTCCTGGCCAAACTAGTGCAGACGGGCTTTAAAAGAAGAAAACAAAAGTTGGCGTTATTATTTCTATTCTTCTACTAGCTCTTGCCCATCACATAGAGTAAAGAAGCCGGTAATCGGCCAGCTCCAGTTTTCGGCCGATTGGTTGGATGCAAGGTAAAATCACTCTAAAATACATCGCATAATAGCATAACAGATATCCCACACATACCATACCATGCCAGTGTCACTGAAGAACCACATTTGCAATGAAAAATATATCCTAAAATATCACATTTTAGCGATGTAATCGGCGGTCCCGCTACCCGAATCTGAAAAATCGAGTATCTTACGCGTGTCTGTAAGAAATATGGGTACCATAAAATGAGCTTTATTTCAAGTATTTTTCAGATTTAGAGCCCGATTTTGTGCTAGTCGCAAGCTCAAAAGTATCTCATCGCATGTATTAAATCAATGCAGCCGCACACCGCAACGCACACACGATATCTCTGTCTAATTCAGATTCCAATATCCGATCACCGCAGTACTAGTTTTCGGCCTGGCGAGCTCCGGGGAGCTCCGGCGTGGGATATCTGCTCCGCCCGCTAGTGCTATAGATCAGCGCGGAAACGCACGGCGCGTGCGCGCGCTTCCTATTGACTTTGTACATACGGCCGAAAACTGGTACGCTATGCCGAAAACTGACTCCGAAACAGTGAAAATTGAAATGAATATTGTCATGGCAATTCATGATTTTTTTCTGGGATTCTTGTTTTGTTTAAATAATAATAATATTTGCTTCATGATTTGAACAAAAAATGATAATAAATAGGAAGTAAAGGGTCCAAAAAATAGGATTTTGTCTTAAATGGCCGAAAACCGGCTCCTTTACTCTATACAAATATCTTTTCATTGTTCGTAATGATCCACTCTCAAAGTTTCTTGAAAGTCGTGACTACTGTCAGAAAATGAAGTACACAATCAACGCCGGCATTCATAGCACAGTTGTGCGAAATAGACCAGCCTTGTATTGAAGTAACTTGCACCAAAAAAGGATTATTAGCATTTGGGCAAAGTTGCAGTAAAATGGTTTTGCATACCTATCGCTGCATGATCATAATGTAATACCAATATATACCATGGAAAAAGCAGGTATTATTGATTTCATAGAACGTTCTCAGAGCTGAGAATAAGCAAACAAAAGTCGTTACTAATTGATTTGGGCTTCCGTCGCTGGCTTTTTTTTCTTCTTCTCTATGCAGTTTGTTACTTGTATTTTATAGCTGTTTTCTTGTCTTACATAGAATGTGAATCTTTAAGAATTATGAGGTCTTTGCGAAGTTTTTATATCTGTAGTTTAAAAAAGGCAATAGTATCATGAAGAATATAAAATCGTGCTTATTCAGGAGGAGGATTTATTGCTAAAGATACTTGTCTGATTAATTGCTGACAAGACAAAGAGCGCAACGTTTGAGTTAATCATACAACTTTTTTTGTCCTCTCCTGAAAACTTTACTATTCCTCTTTTCTTTTGTACTGTCTCAACTCAATTAAAAGTCAGCAGCGAACCTTTCCCATACTGTCATCTCCCTCTTTATGGATGTTCAGTACTTCTTATTTCCTCTTAAAAAAAGAAAGAATCGGAGCCTTGCAGTGGGTTGAAGATATTTCTTTCTGGTTTCATAAATGACTTTCATAAGTGACCTACCTTTTACCACTTCTTCTCTAAAGCTTTGTTTCCTGCCTCCTTTTATCCTTCACCAAAATCTTCATCGGCTTATACTGTTTCCATAATTTTCCCATTACTCTTGCTGTATATGTCAGAAAATCTTATTAAATTCTTAGGAGGTAGCATCTCCCTCTATCACCCTATTTCATCATGAGTAATGCATCATCTAATTCTTGAATCTTTCAGAAACACCTATATCCATGGCAACCTGCATCATCTGAAGCAGTTTGCGCGGAAGGATGACAGAGGCTTTTGCCGTCACACGGAAGACATCGACTTTTGTGGACAGGTAAGCTTCTTATCTTATTAAAAGTTATGAATATATATGATTAGTGGGGAAAGGGGGATAAGGGAGAAAGAGTGATAGATGGAGAGAGAGAAAGAGAGAGAGAGAGAGAGAGAGAGAGAGAGAGAGAGAGAAGTAGAGAAGTAGAGATAGAGAGATGGAGAGATCAGAGAGAGAGAGAGATAAAAAGGGGTGTGTAGAGAAGACGAGGAGAAAAAGAGCTGAATTAGAGAGGGAGGGAGGGGAAAAGATTTATAAGAGTGAGAAGATAGTGAGGAGAGACAAAGTGTGTGTGTGTGAGAGAGAGAGAGAGATTTGTGGGGAAAAAGTCGGAGGAAAAAAGAGAAGGATAGATGCCACGATGATGCAACACAAAACAATAGAAGTAATTCTTGTAGCTACAAATCTTCTACAAAGTAAGACTGTTGAGCGAATTCTATTATCGTTTATTTTTTTTGGTCTATTTCTCTTTCTCTGATTGTCTATCTCTGTGCCACTTTCTTTCCATCTATCTTATCGTACCTCTTACCCCCCCCCCCCCCCCCACCACTCCCCCTTCTCTCTCTATCTCCCCCTAAACCCCCTTTTCTCCCATTTCTCCCAAACATGCTTTCTTCTTCTATCATTTTTTTGTATCATCATAATATTTCTTTGCCCATTCTCTCATATATACATTATCTTCCCCTGCTTCTCTTTGTCTCAAATCCCTTTTGCTTTCCAGCCTTTATGGATGCAAAAACACATCTGACTTTCATTTCCCTAATTATGCATGTATATGAATGACATTCATAGGACTGTCATTCTTGATTATATCAGATTAAGCTTGTCTATGTCATATGACAGATAATTGCGGGATTCTTAGTGTATATTAAAATAGATGCCTGTTCTTCTACGATATAATGCTCTGCTTATTACATCTTCATTTTTATCTGTTTCTGCCCTCTCCTCCTCTCTTCTCCCCCTCCCATCTCCCCTCTCCTTCCCAAAGATGATTCAAGCCACTTTAATTTGGGTAGCTATAAGTCAATGCCAAGTAAAAAAAATTATCTAAATTCAAGTGTTGTATTGAGTACTAGCCAAAATCCTAATATGAATTACCTATGTTTTTGTTTGTTTCCTGTCAAATGTTTTTACGGGATTTTGAGGAAATCATACTTTGGACTTTGTATAGAAACGGATGATTGCTGTATTTCTTTATTAAAGAAATACTGTACTAGAAGCGCTACCCCAAAATCCCCTCTAGTGCCATCAAGTCCTCTGCTTGCGAAACTGAAATTAGGTGTTGGATTATGTAGGGAGGAACTATTATGGCTAAACAATATGGTAGGATAATGTCATTGTCTTGTAACAAACAGATAAGCAACTTAAAGATGCATAGTACTAGTGAGCTCTCATGGAGCACTCTTGGGGTATGTACCAAATACAGGGTGTTGTCAAACACCAGGATTAGCCTTCAGTTTTACCAAAGACTCTGGACTCTTTCTTGATGGGACTATAGGTTTGCTGTGCCTATGTGCGAGACCTGTATACCCGATGGTGGTATTTCCACCAAGACTGGTGTCAGCAAATTATGACCTGCTGCATATGGAACCTGGCGACCATCTCCCTTTAAATCAAACTTGAGTTGTAAGGAGACACCACCACTCCAGAAACTGAGTATAATGTACTGTACATTTAATAGCCCTTCTCTGGTGAAGGATGTATCTGATATCAAAACTACCCATTACACCCATTTACAATACCAGTGCTCGATACAAGAGTGAGGGGCCAGGGTGAACACGTGGAGTGTATGCTTTAGCGAATATGAATATGAATATGTAAGAGCGCCATTGCTAGAGTGGGCGTGTCTCCCTGACTACAGGTGGGGCTAGAAGCCTTGAATTCACTGTCAGGAGTAAACAAGGCTGTTTCCTAAACATGATTTCAAAGGCTTTCGAGAAATCAACCCAAGATCATTTTCTACACCCCATTGTATATCCCATTGAAATCATATTCAGAGTATGGAATACTCACCTGAAAAGTTCATACCGTGCAAACACAATCAACATTAAAGGTAAAGACCAGTATTGGAAACGCCCCAATTTCAAAAAATGAAATGGAAGCTCTCATTACCAATCATGTGAAAGAATATGTTTTGACTAATACATGATGATAACAAATTTGCCAGGAAATACCGCCTACAAATTCATATATTTGGTAAATTTGTTTCTCTCATGGTCTGTGAGAGATATAGGGTAGTCCCATATACATCTTTCTGTGTATAGTGCTTGTAACTTTACGAAGAATGGGCCAAATTTCTTATCATTTTGATGATTCCAGAACCTTGCAGATGCTAGATGCTAGATGATCAACCTTTTATGATCGATTCCACAACGTTTCTTTCAAAATGCAATCGCATGACCATAACTGGTCTTTACCTTTAACGTTTTACTAGCTTCTTGCAAAATCTTGCTATTTCGCCTGGTTGCTAAGCTATAAGGTAAAAACCTCAAGCAGTACCAGGTAGTTGCGAGCCTGTGGGAGCCTGTGTGATTGTTAGTAGGACTTTGTTAACAGATTTGATGTACTGGTCACTTCAATTTAAAAACAACGACTGACTTGCCACACGAATATAGCTTATGTTGAAGTGGGCTTTACATCTTTTTGAAGCAAACAACCGTTACAATATACAAGTACGAACCTGGATCTATCTGAGGACAATACAAAAAGTTATATCTATATCAATATCTTTGGATCAACAATTTAGTCAGCGCTGACTAAATTTGACCAATCACAGACCTGGAAAATAGTCGGTGACAAAAGAATTGTCGGTGAACATGATATTAGTGGGTGGTTTTCACTGACTGATCCAAAGATATTGAAAAAACACTGTTGCACAGGATTTGCCTTCCCTGAATATTTTTGTACTTAAAGAAACATATAAATGTAAACATACAAGTATTTAAACATTGAATGTTTAGTGCAAGGGGGTGTTAAAGGATACGTATAATACCTGGTATTCTTGTTGATTCTTGTTCATGCCCTGCGTTGCTTTTTCCCCTCGTATGATTGTATCCGTTTTTAGATAATACAATAATAGTATGAAGTCTACAAATACTATCCCCCCCCCCCCCAAGTTTTCTTCCCCATTTCTAATACGATGTTGGTATAAATGAGAGCATCACTTTTGAATCGATGAGTCCCTTTGGAACCCTATAAAATTGAAGCATGCATGCGATCGATGCTCACTCACTAATGTATTGTGGTGTGCGTGCGTGATTGAGAGGTTTGTAGTACTATTCACGCTATAAAACTGAATGATTAAACTTGATCTAGATGACTTTTTAAAGGAAAGAATGCATATGTATTCAATGCAATGCTGTTGATTTGCGTTTGCTTTAGAATAACAATCAGTTTGAGAAAAGTTAAGATATTGAAAATTATTTTAATGTTAAAAGCAGATGTGTGGTTTTCAAAATACGTGGCAAAGAAATGTCTTTACCAATCTAATTACCAGAATTTTAATTGAGCTAATATTTCACAAGCAGGATCACTTTCATCATCAAACAAGCAAATATAGTAATAGGTTATTAATTACAACCCAGTATACATTTGTCTGTAAATTATCGATGGAGCTAATATTTCATCAGCAAGATCACTTCCCCCTGTAATGCATGGTTAATAATTATTCAAACAAGCAAATATAGTTATAGGTTGATAGTACAACCCAGTATAGATTTGTCTGTAAATTGTCATGGAAAGCTAATATTTAATCAGCAAGATCTCTTCCCCAGCAATGGTTAATAAATATTCAAACAAGCAAATATAGTTATAGGTTGATAATGAAACCCATTATAGATTTGTGTGTAAAGTGATCAATATACCAGACAGCTGGGCAAAGAAACACTAATTATCAATCATTTCTTTTTCCACTTTTGGCATTGTAAATTAATTTGATTTGCTTCTTTATACAAATTAACTGGAGAGCCAGACATATGCTAGCAATAATCAATTTTCTCAAGAGACTATAAGTTTGAATAGGAATCGTTTCCATATTCTGTGGTTTTTATTGATTTGTCCTCACAAAGTGGTTAATGATAACAATTTTGTTCAACAGCATGCTGTAAGAACTCGCACGGTTTTCAACAATATATGCAGGGAGCCAGAAGGGTGTTAACTCATATATTTTTCTACACAAACCTAAAGCTTCTTCTGAGTAGAATAAGAATGAACAAGAAGCCGAAATCGGACAATAAAAGCGGAAGCTAAAGGAACAAAGTGTTATGATATACATGTATGTATCCTACGGGATTGAATGACTTAATAAAGTCCACGCATGCGCGTGTCTTATATATCTGAACTACGTCTCAATACATGGTGGCAGCGGCGGAGCCTTAGAATTTGACATTTTCACAGGATAGCTTAAATCCTACGAGAAAAAGGACAGTGCTAAATTAATAGCGCAAGTTTCAAGCTGAGGTGAATATATGTGTGAACAAATTTTGAGGTCTTGAATAAGTGAATCCAGCCGTCAGAAAATATGCCTACAACAGGCGAACATGAGACAGCCGCTCAGCAGCAGCCCGATGGCAATGTCGAGCAGAACGGGACGGCTGACCAGTCGCCTACGCAGCTAGCGACGGGTCGCACTCAGCAGAGAGTGTCAGCACCGCCTCCCGTGAGCGGGATACGACCACCACCCCAATTGACTATAAATCGCGGAGTGATTGAGGGGTGGAAAACATGGCGTCAGATGTGGACGAACTACAGCGTGGTAGCACATCTGGATCGCCAAGCATCAGTGTACCAGACGGCATTGTTTTTGCATACAATCGGCCCGTTGGGACTAGAAATATACAACAGTTTTGTTTTCGCTAATGCCAATGGGGAAACTAGCAACCTGGATGAGATAATAGAGGCATTTGAACGGTACGCTGTCGGTGAGAAGAATGAAACCTACGAGAGATACCTCTTCAATAAACGGCAACAAGAACCAGGTGAGAGTTTTGAGTCATTTCTTGCCA